GCGCTCCGATATAGATGTACAGCCAGGGAGAATGGCTGTTAATTAGCACCCTTATCTCTACTCGGAGAGAGCCAGTTAATTAGCTCGGCTAGAATAATGAGGCCCCCACTCAGAGGAGGCGCCATGAATCTTGTATCAGGTGGAAGAGGTTCAGGGAGGCGGCTTTGTCTCGGGCGGCCGAGCCGGCGACCCCGTCCCCTCCTTGCTGAAATCAGAAGAGCCCTCCTTGATTTTGGCGAGAGGGGGGTTGAAGGGTTAGGACTCATGCCATCCAGAGGAAGACTGGGAAGGAGCCCCTCTCCAGGACGGGGGCATCAAGAAACCTTCAGAGGGGCCATTTCCACAATTACTGGGTTGGTGTAGATTTTAGCATGCTATTCCCTTCCGGCACGCAGCTTGGCTCATTTATTTGAGTCATCTACGCAGAACACAGCCTAAAAACCTCTTGAGGGGCCCTGCCAGGCAGCCTGCGTCAAGGAGATCTCAGCAGGGTGGACGGGGTGGAGGCTGCTCCCTTTGGACCAAAGGGTTTAGACTGGGATTTCCACCGACCCCGCGAGACAGCGAGCGCGCTGGAGGGAAAGCCACAGGCTGGGCTACACAGCAACCGGGCGCACGTGGGTCCTGGTGGCTCCCGTGGCTTTTGGTGGCACAAAGAGCATGGCCTCTCATGATGAGATGGGGAGGTATTTTGTTCCCAGCTCTCAACAAGAAAAAAAAGGGAAACAACGGTTTGCTCACCTTCAACAAAACGGCACAAGTGACATAAAATGAACATCTCTCTCAGTCTCTGTGTGTGTTGTGTGTAATTTTGAGGTGCCTGTGTGGCTTGAAGACAAGTCTTGCAGAATTGAGACCACTTCAATCGACAAGAATGCTCTCTCAGTCTCTGTGTGTGTGTGTGTGTTGTGTGTAATTTCGAGGTGCCTGTGTGGCCACTTCAATCGACAAGAATATGAGAATTTAGAATCATAGAAGACTGGAGTTCGAAAGGGGCATCGAAGGCCATCCAGTCCAACCCCCTGCTCAGTGCAGGAATTGACATCCAAGCAGATCTGACAGAAGGTGGGTCCCGTTTTGCTCTTGAAGGCCCTCCAGTGCTGGAGCACTTCTCGAGATCAGAGGTTCCATTGTCGTACTGCTTTAACAGTTAGGACGTTTTTTCCTGATGTTCAGCCGAAATCTGGCTTCCTGTCACTTGAGCCCATGGTTGGATGTCCTGCACTCTGGGATGATTGAGAACAGATCCTGCCCTTCCTCTGTAGGACAGCCTTTCAAGTCTTTGCAAAGTCTTTGTCTCATCTCCCCTCAGCCTTTCTTTTCTCAAGGCTAAACACGACCAGTTCTTTCCGCTCTCAAGGCTAAACACGCCCAGTTCTTTCCGGCTTTCCTCTTCAACGGGCTTGGATTCTAGCCCCCCCTCCTTCCGTTCTCTGAACTTGCTCCAGTTTCCTGGCATCCTTCTTCCAAGTGTGGTGTCCGGCGTTCAGCCAGCACTCCTTGCACCCCGACCTAAACAATCCTCATCCCTCACCAGTCCAAAGGGCACAAACCTTTTCCAGCTGCGGTTGCCCACCAGCGAGACAATCCATAGCCTCTGCTCCATTTCATCCAGTGCCTTGAGCCCTAAGGGAGCACCGGCGGCTCAGAGTGAAGAGACCTGTACTCTGCACATGCCCAGAGGTCCTCCTGCCATTTATTTCACCTGTTTTTGTAAGCCAAACCCTGGTGGGGAATGCAGGTTGACTTCTTCCATTCTGCAGCGGTCTTTCGTGTGCAAAGTAGG